TTTGTGTGTGTAATACACGGTTACACACCCTTCTCTCCATTATACCTCATTACCCAGGTGCTCGGGAATCGCCGCAGACGCGGTTAACCATAAGCGAGGGAATGAGTGTTGCCCACAATGTTTCCAAAGTCCTTATCAATCTCCTGCCCTTTTCCTCTGCCACTCTCCACAAGTCAGATGGAGTCCGTCTCCCTCATGTGCTTTCACACACTCCAGGTAAAAATAGGCCCTGATAGGTTGACATGTTACCACAGCGCTGTTTGCCCCCGGCTACTTAACCTGAACCAGATTCTGTCCTCACTTATATTCCTGCTGATTGTTGTATGAAAACAACTCTATTCACATTACAAATGTTTAATGGTATTTTAATGTGCTTGTTTATCTTTTTGAGTTTAAATTTAAAGGCTTTTGAATTTAGATCACCCTTAGGACTTACAAAATGTAGATGAGTTTGGATCAAACAGATTTGGAGAAATGTAGCATTACATCACTTGCTCACCAATGGATCCTCTGCAGTGAATGGGTGCCGACAGAATGAGAGTTTAAACAGCTGAAAAAAACATCACAATAATCCACAAGTAATTTCACTGGAGAAATTAATATTATGGATAGAGGACTCGTATTTCAGCTGGAAGCAACAGTTTGTATTTAAAAACATGAATTTGTTTACCACAAACAATCAGCTTTTTATTTCACAAGATGTTAATTGATTGGCTGGTGTCATGTGGATTACTTGTGGTGATGTTTTTATCAGCTGTTTGGACTCTCATTCTGACGGCACCCATTCACTGCAGAGGATACTTTGGTGAGCAAATGATATGCATGCTAAATGCAAAATTTCTTCAAATCTGTTCCGATGAACAAACAACATCTTGGATGGCCTAAGGGTAAGTACATTTTCAGCAAATTTCCATTTTTGGGAGAGCTATTCATTTAAATTTTTTATTTAAATGTTGTAGCTTTCTCCTTTCCCAGCATAATATCCATTTGTTGATAAAATTCTGTGAAAAATTGGTATCAAAACTCTTTGTTGTTTGCTGCTTTTTTTGTTTGAGTGGCTCAACCAATGGTGTGAATTTGGATGACCAATGGCAGATGAGAGAAGTGTTTGGGAAACTTAAGTCTTTATTTTTGCAGTTCGGTTTAAATTGAAGTCGAAATAAAGAGTCCAAAAAGTATAGGATTTACTTCAGTAAGAAATTAGGTAACACTTTATTTCGATAGTCCACTTTAGACATTCTATTAACAGTAAGTAACTTTGCAACTACATGTCAACTAGCAGTTAGTAGAGTATTAGCAGACTGTCTGCTTAATATCTTCTAACACTTTCTTTGTCAACTTATTCTACTAACCCTAAACCTACCCTAACAGTCTACTCTGAGAGTTAGTATACATGTAGTTGCAAATTAATGAGAATTAGTTGACATGTAGTTGACATGTAGTTACAAAGTTACTTATAGTTAATAGAATGTCTAAAGTGGACTATCGAAATAAAGTGTAACCAGAAATGACTAGTAAATTTAATAAATAAATAATTACAAAGAAACGGCAAAGTAACATTTAATTAAACATGAAACTAGAAAAAGTAGAAAGAATGAAATATACTCCACTAATCTGTTTTATTAACTTCATGGTTCAAATTGTTTGTTTATTTTTTTTATTTTTTTACAGTGCATTAGAAAGAAAGGAACACCTCTGAGCAATAATATTTTCCTCTGGGCTCCAAAAACTCATTAGATCTCATTGAAGTCCATATTTGGTTGAATTTCTGTCATTATATGTTTATGTCATGAAGCACTTCATACCTCGGCTCTTAGTTTAGAGTGATGAAGTCTAGTAATTTGACAAAAGCTTCACATTAAAAAAAGCCGCAGTAGGAATATCACACCCACATTTTCACTGAAACGACAGAGGATCTTCCAAAGGTAATTCATTCTTTCCTGTCACATACTTGACAAACAAATTGCAATGAATGCAAGAATGACTAGTTTGGCTTTGAGAGCAGCTGACGGTGAACATTTGCGTCATTTTCACATCAGGTGTTATTCTGATCCACCCCAGACTACAATCAGAGTCAGACACAATTCCAGATCCTATCGTGACTGGAATTGGTAATGGCTAGAGAATGAAGTCAGGCCAGACTTCAGGAGAATCAACACCGACAAAAACAACATGCTCTGTGTTCACTGCTGTTTCTTTGACTCTGTTTCACTTAACCAGTGGTTTCATCTGTTTGTATTCGTGCTGTTGTTTGTCATGGCGTTTCTGTGGCAGAGAGCCTCATCCAGTTTGAGTTTAGGCGTACATGTTATGAAGAGGTGTTTATTCAAGTTGCTACGTTACAGACCACTGTCATAAACAAAAAAGCGGGTTGGTGATTGAAAGCAGACATTAATCAGAGGACACATCGCTCCATAACTCTGATTAACAGAAGTGTTGCCTACCCTTTTAGTGGAATACCTGTATTAACCAAATGACAGACAGGGCCATTGTCAACTGTCAGTCAGATGGTTGTTTCTTTTAAAGCTACAGATACCTGCCAGATACCTTAGTGCAGTGAGTGATTGACAGGTGAGTGGGCGGTACTTCGGTGTTGTCTGGGACTCATCTGAACGGATTAGCAAATGCCTCACCAATGAAATGCACGTGTTTTCAACAGCTTTGGAATGTGGTTGAAACAGATGAATTTTGAGATATTTTGGATCCCGATTAGCTGTATTTAGTGTAATCTGGTTTTAATGGGTTTCATATAATTTGATGTTCTTGTGCTTAAATAAAAATAATATCTCATTATGATAAAAAATATCTCATTATGATATACTGTTACCAAATCTTGATTCACTCTTTTTTTTCTAACTTGTTTTCTTTCAGTTAGCATTTGATCATTTGTATTTCTTTTTGGAACTGATTGCATAGGCCTCATTGATCTGAGCTTATGCATCTCAGTTTTTCAAAAAGGTGTAAATATTTTGGATATTTTTTTAAGGATATTTGTATACCCTGTGTGAGCAAAGTCAGCAAGTTATCTAGAACTCAAATATTTCTTATTAAATAAAAGACCAGTGATCTGAGCTCCTCTAATTCTTCTTTAATTTCTTTGTTAAATTTTTTTTTCTTAATTACTGTTTTAAGAGAATCATCGGAAACAAAATTGATACATGATGATGAAGATTTGGTGGAGTCACGTTATGTTTTTTATTTATTTGTACCATGGTCTTCTGTCTGAATACTCAATTCTGATTGGCTGGCAGGTATGCATTAAAACGGTTTAATGCACAGGTAGTTCCAAGTCAGTTTAATCACTATTTTATATTAATGCGCTACTTTAATTGATTCACACAAACACACACATCACTCACACACAAACACACACACACACACAGAGAGAGAGAGAGAGGTGGGTGATTCTTGGCCTCCACGTTGTGCATTAAAATTGTTTAATGCACAGCTAGCCGTGCATTATCCCTTGCATATTTATTGTGCTTTCATCTCATTGCACTGTGTAAATCATTTGTACGCTATCATTTTTCAGGAGCAATAAGAGGGATGCTGTTCAAAAACAAGGAATGGGAGGCAGTGTGTGATTGGATTACATGGAATTCATTACTGTCAAATGTTAACTTTGTTTTTGACCTACATATTTACAGGGTTACCTCACATTAACGCTGCCAATATATTTGATTTGCTTATTAAAAACAAAAAACAAACAAAAACAGTCTTATTGTGAGTGCCATGAGAGATTAACCGAGCATAGTGTTTTGGCTCATGAGATTTGATGATTAAGATGCTGATGAACTGTAATCTTTTATTTTATGTTTAACACTTTGTTTTTCTGTGGGTGTGGATTTGGCAGTGTCTGTCTAATTTATCCAGTTTGTTTCTTTTGTAAAACAGATTGCGTTCTCCTGTGTCATGGATAGATATCTCTTTGTGTGTGTTTATTGTAGGCTTTCAAGGAAAAATTCACACAACAATGAAAATTTTATCATCATTACACACCCTCATGTCATTCCAAACCCGTATGACTTCCTTTCAGAGCCGCTCTTTTCAATGAAAATAGATGGTGATTTAGGGTTCAGAGACAAACTCTGAATATCTCTGTTTGTGTTTCACAGAAGAAAGAAATTAATACAGGTTTGAACAGATACGAGGTTGAATAAATGATGTAAAAATGTGAACTATTTCTGTAACCGACAGTGGAATGTCAAAGAATAGCATCAGTGCTTTCAGATCAGACGTGGAACTTTCCTGAATTTCCTCACACTGAAACTGTGGCTGTTGGTTTCCTTCAGATTGAGATGTCTGGTGAAGCAGCTGGATAAGGGGGAGGTGAATGTCGTAGATCTGAGGAAAAACATTGAATATGCTGCATCGGTTCTGGAAGCCGTGTACATCGACGAAACTAGGTAAGTGAGCGCTTGGGTTTCTACAGTCTCACATGGTTGCCAATTTCAAGTGAAATAGAAGTTACACTCTTCTGTTCTTTAGACAATATATGCCATTTGAGATTTGTTTTAACCTCTGGTGGTGTCGTGGAGCAAACAATGGTCTTCTCAATGTAGTAAATGTAGTTAAAGAAGCAGAGTTCCAGATGTCAAAATAAGACTTTATTGGACAAAGCAAAAAAGCCGAGATGACGGTCACCGCATTTGAGTCTTTGTCGCAATTGATTGTTGTCTTTTGTCCGACATCCATTCTTATACCTAATTCTTATCAGTCTTTTTAGACCAAAAATAGGTAGCTCGGTCTCTGATTGGTCTTACTCCACTAGTTTTGCTACACTCATTCGCACTCGTCCTGGTATAGTTTCTAATTGTGGACTCCTGCTAGTTTGAACCATTCTCCTAATACTTTTCTCCTAATACTGTGCCCAATCTTCCCTTTGGACACAGGTGTCCTCATAGGCCATTCATCAGACTTGTTTGTGCCATCCCTGACATATTCTTGGGAGTCACCCAAAGTTTACTGGTTCACTCAAGTTCATCGGTGCTGTCCAATGGGGAGCACCTCCACTTGCCCATTGGAAAGCACCTAGGACTCACAGTCTGCATTAAAGGGTTAGTTCACCCAAAAATGAAAATTCTGTCATTAATTACTCACCCTTGTGTTGTTCGAAACCCGTAAGACCTTCGTTCATCGCGCGCGTTCACGACAGTACCATATCATGTGACATGATGTGTGGCGGCGCTGACCCAGATCCCTCATATATCATCAAAAATATCTTAAATTGTGTTCCGAAGATGAACGAAATGTCTTACGGGTTTCGAACAACACGAGGGTGAGTAATTAATGACAGAATTTTCATTTTTGGGTGAACTAACCCTTTAAGACATCCAATATTAAAACAACCATTGAAACCGTATTGATCAGTCTATTGATTATTGTTATAATCATACATCATATTTTCGAGTAAAATATCACAACAGTGACAGGGGACCACATTGTAAACACAATCAAAATGCTGAACAGCGCAGTACAGTGCCTGTTAGCTATGTATGTGTAGGTTATAAATAAGATCTGTCAATGCTTGATGAAAGCATTTGATACAGTCACTTTGATTTTGGCTTATGAGTTCATTAAATCTTTGAATGAGTTTTAAGGTCATTGTAAAGTGTCACTTACCATTACACACATTTCAGTTTGGCTTCTACCAAGGCAATTTATAACACTACACTTTAAAAAAAAAAACGCACACACATCTGGCTTTGAATTCAATTTTCACTCGAAAACAAGAACCAGCAAGTAATACATAGACTTAAACTTGATTTTTTCTTTCTAAGTAAAAAAAGTCTAAAATAGTATTTTCTGGATCTTGATTTTCAAGCAGTTTCGCAGTGTGAAGGTTTTTAACTTTAAATATTCACAGTCCAACTTTAGAATGCTTTGTATTTTAGACATTAATGAACATATCATCACCGTTTAGACAAAAGTGTAAAACCCAACAGATAAAAGTTGCAAGTTAACTGCCCATGATTTTCATTCATCTTGATTTTTGATCTTAATTTTTTTTAAAGAAATTAATACTTTAATTTAGCAGAGATGTGTTAAATTGATCACAAGTGATAAAACTTAAAAACGTTGACATTGTTCAAATAAATTTCTATTCATCAAAGAAACCTGGTAAAAATAGCAGTTTCCACAAAAATATTAAGCAGCACAACTGTTTTGACATTGGTAATAATAAGAAATATTTCTTAAGCAGCAAATCAGCATACTAGAATGATTTCTAAAGGATCATGTGACACTGAAGACTGGAGTAATGATGAGGAAAATTCAACATCATTGAATAAATTACAGTAAAATAGAAGTTATTTTAAAATGTAACAACATTTCACAGTATTACTGATTTTACTTAGCATAAGACAGCATAAGAGACTTTATGAAAAAACATTACAAAATATGAAATCTGCTTTTAACACCTATCTTTCTTTTGTTTTACATTTTAATCTGTAATTTTATTCAAATACAATTAATGCATTCTTAGTTGTTTGAGAGTAAAATGCTATGTAAATACTTTATAATGTATAATATATAATTAAATAATTGATTTGTTGTTTATGTAGTATTTGAAGTTTATTATATTAATGAAAATATTTTTCATCTCTCTCTTTTTCTCACCACACACACACACACACACACACACACACATTTCTTAATGAATAAAACCTATTTTAGATTTTTTTATTTATTTTGAGGGTTCATTGTCACATTCAGGGTTCACATAAAAATGGGCTTCATTTTCTAGAAGGAATATACATACATACATACATATATACATGCATATTTTATTTATATATTTATTTATTTGACTTATAGGTGTGAAATATGACTGGGACATATTCCTGGTTTTGTGAGACTCACCCTATTACAACCCACATGCAGAGCCAAAAATGTAACCCCTAAATATTGTATTCTTAATCTTTACACATCAGTTATTGCACATTCCAGCGATTGTAACACCCACCGACGCACGTTTGAATGTAGGCTGCAGCCTCCTATGGGTTTTCCAGCTCTGTACTTCTGATTTCCACTGATGTTTTCTGATACTGTCACTAGAGCACAGATGCCCTGTTGACCGATATAGGTCGACCACATGCAGATATAGGTCGACCAGACTATAGGTTTTCAATTACCAAAGCTGATATCAATAGAACAGTGTTGACAGATGACATGATTTAATGATGATAGACCTATATCTGATAAAATGAGGTGTGCACAGAATTACTGAAATTCTGTTTCATTTTTCTTTATTTATTTACTTCTTTGTTTTACTATTTGAAATATTTATTCAGAATTCTATATTTAAAACAGAAAAATAAATATTTTTAAACAATTCCTTTAAAAAAAAACAGCAACCAAATAACTAGATTGCACACTCTTAAACTGCACATACTAACATATAATATTTGTCTTGGTACAGGTCATGCTGTAGGCTCTTCACAGCAGCTGCTGTAGGCTCTTTGTAGTAATATCCTCTGTGAAAATACTTGTTCTCCAGGCGGCTTCTGGACACAGAGGATGAGCTCAGTGATATCCAGGCAGACTCTGTTCCCATGGAGGTGCGAGATTGGCTGGCCTCCACCTTCACCAGGAAGATGGGAGTGGTGCGCAGACGGCCTGAAGAGAAGCCCCGGTTTCGCAGCATTGTTCACGCCGTTCAGGCTGGGATCTTTGTTGAACGGTATCTATTCTGTTGTTATCTAAGAGTTGGTATGTTCACCATAATCAGAAATGATTTATAATTATGTTCAACATGACCAAAGTGATTCTGATTGTGATTTATGCTAAATTAATCATTCTCAGTAACAATTTACCCAAAATCTCATGAAAATATTTATTGAAGGGTTCTGATATAGTTCACCCAAAACTGAAATTTCTGTCACCACTCTAATATCGTTTGAAGAATGCTGGTAATCAAACAGTTTCGGTTCCCACTGACTTCCATTTTATGGACATAAAATACAATGGAAGTCAATGGGAACCGAAACTTCTTGGTTACCAACATTCTTCTTAATATCATCTTGTGTTCAGCAGAAGAAAGAAATTCATACAGGTTTGGAAGGACATGCGGGTGAGTACATTGATGACAAAATTTTCATTTTTGGATGGACTGTCCTCTCTGGACTATAAATTAAGATACCTAATTTTGACAAAGCCAGCTTTGCATGTACTGTTTGCGGAAAAGGCAATCCCAGAATGCATTGCCCCAAACTTAGGGAACAAATTAATCTAACATGGCAGATGAACTGAGAAAAATATCAATATACATATATTTCATTAAGTGCTGAAAAGTATGAGTAAAGTTCATTTTATTTAGTATGCATCATTTTTTATATTTAATATGTATATATAATATATATTTTATTTATCATTTATTTTAAATTTTAACGTTTTTAAATTTATTTGTAATATCTTTAATTAGCATTTCATGTTGTTGGATGAGAAACATGCTACCATTATAACCAGGGCCGTTTCTAGGCATAGGCGAGCTAGGCGGTCGCCCTGATTATAACCTTTATAGAAAGAATGTGGAGTGTTCTAAATCAGTTACTTGGGTTCAATCTCAAACAAGATATTTCCTTTGAAGGCAGCTGCCTATGTAGGCTGTAGACATCAAGGTAGCTCACTAGGTTTTGAGACAGAGCCTTTGTTTTAACATTTAATGTGCTGCTGCTAAGTGAGTTTAAATCAAACAGACAGTCCCATTTCACAGACCTGCCCGTTTTTTTCTGCTAACTGGGAAAATGGTTTAAGGGTTAAGGGTTTGTTCTGCATAATCTTTTCCAGTAACTGAAAATGAATGTCTCGATCCATTTCATTTGCATTGCAGCCGTCCTCTCTGTGGCATGTACCCTCACGTCTCAGTAATACGCACAAACCGCCTCCCTCTTACATGGGCAGAGCTCCTCATTTCCATGGAAACTCATTCAGAATGTCATAGACACCTGTTGAGCTTGAAGCACTGATCATCAGGTGCTGTGTGATATCGAACGCATGTTAGGGGCTCTCTTAATGATACAAGACATCCAAATTATCCAAAATATCTGTTAGTCTGAGGTATAAAAGTGTAAACCAGCTGTTCAGAAATATGCACCTAAACTTTATTAATTATAATGTGATTATTTACATAGTGGCAAGAAAATTAATATATCAACAACAAGTAGCATAATATAATATTATTGTATTTTTTTTATTATTTTATCAGACAAGATGGAATGATTTATTTATTATAATGCCACTTCCTGGAGGATGATGTCATTAAGGAACTGTATAATAATATATTGTTATAAAAAAGATATTACAAAAGACTAGTGCTAGATGACATATCATGATTAGGCTATTTATTTAAAATTCACGTTCACTTAATTGTGATTTTGTGATAAAATAAAACAATTTAATATGATTTCAGTCTTTAGCATTTGTGAGTTTATTATTTTACTCTATATATTAAGACAGAATGGAGACATAAAAATGTTCTGCATAGTGTGAACCTGTTCATATCCCATTATTGGGATTTATCAGCGAGAGCCGAGTTAATAAGAACACTGGAACTGAATTTGATCATTATGTACTATTATTTTGGAATCTGGACAGTGTGAAGTAAAATGACATTTTAAGTGCTTCATTAAAAAGGAAAGTTTTAGTGTTATGTCCTGCTTATTCTTTGCTCTGATTCCCACTTGAATGTACAGTACTTGTGACTACAGGGGAATACAGTTCTGTGAAGGTTCAGTCAACCACATGTAGTTGTATCAAATTTTAATTAATTGCTGCTGTCAAAATCCAAAAAGTCCAGTGTTGTTTCTGCAGTTTACTCCTTGTATGTAATGTCCTCTCCTATTTGTCTCTTAAACGCTTCTGTAAAGCTCCATTTTAACTCTAGACCTTAGTAAAACCCTCCTGATTGTTTTATATAATGTTACTTACAGTGTAAGCTTAAAGGGTTCAATCATAATTTAGACATCATAAACATAATTTATATTTTAGGTTAAATTCAAAAGTTTCTCACCATTTGAATCACCTTTAGCCTGTACTGGTTAATTTTACATGGTGTGACAGATAATTTGCATGCATAAAAGAACAAGCAGCATGCTTTTTAAAGTAGTTTTAGATGGAGTATACAGAAGAACCATAGGACATCAGCTTTCAAAAAAGTATTCAGTGTCAGCTACTCAAATGCAATTTTCACATGTGATTTACGAATTTATGCAAATTCAGCATTACATTGTGACTGGTTCACAAAAAAATCTGTACTGAAATGTACCTTGTTAAAAAATAAGCTGTCAGCCATGGTCATAGAAAAAAAAAACGTATGATGGTTTGTGTTCGCAGAATGTACAGGAGAACATCCAATATGGCAGGGTTGACCTTTCCACCATCTGTAATTACAGCTCTAAAGGTACAGATTATATTTACAGTAGATTATAATAGGGCTTTAGTTTGTTTCCTTAATGTTGTATGTCCGCCACCAGCTCTTAAGAGTCTTCCTCTTTTTCAGGATGTTGATAAATGGTCATTTGACGTCTTCACACTTCAAGAGGCAAGTAGTGAACACGCTCTGAAGTTCCTGGTGTATGAACTGCTCACCAGATACGACCTGATCAGCCGCTTCAGGGTATGAGAGACTGCAAAAACCAGGCACACACCAAAACTGTGATATTACACACATTGCTTACCTAAGATACTGACTCATACACCCATAGGGAAACTTCCATGCTGCCACTGAATAAAATTAAATCTGTCATTTACCTACCCACATGTCATTTCAACCCTTATATGTATTTGTCCCCTTTTTATGCAGTTACAATGAATAAGGACTGAGTCTTTAAAGTTTCAAAAAGAACACACAAAAAATAATCATTACAAAAAATATAAATGTACCCTACTGTATATTACTTATGCACTTTATTCAAAGTCTTCTGAAAGCATAAAATAACTTTGTGTGAGAAAAGACTGAAATGTAAATCGTCATTCACTGGTAATCACTGAATCAGTTCAGAATCATTGAATCAGTTCGGTATTAAGGAGTTCTCTATTACTGATTCAGTCTGATTCAATGATTCGGTCTTGTTAACCAGAACAAATTATTAATTAAAAAGATCAGACTCAAATAATGATTCATTCACAAATCATTCACGATGGTGCCCAGGGTCTCAAGATTTGCAGTGAATAACAACTTAAATTATAATCCGCTCCATTTTTTGTCATTAAAAGACTTGGAATATAATGCATGAGTTAAATTAAAGGCAGAGTAAGCGATTTCTGGTAGCCAATGTTGATATTTGAAATCACCAAAACAAACACGCCCCTACCCCAAAAGGGTCTTGCCCCTATTTTGATAGCTCCGCCCCACATATACGTACGCAACCCAGGCAACGATTAGTTCTGTGAAACAAAGCAAAACCAATGTTACACCGTGTCTACGGACGTGAGCGGCGCGGCGCAACAAATCCCAGACAGAAAACTGCTGCCGGGTTCTATTTATGACGTGCTGACACACATTTCAAATGGTTTTCAACGGTCGTTTGATCGCGTCCAGTGTAGGCAGACTTTAGCTGTTGTAGACACGGTGGTTCACATAGGTTACTCACCTATTGAGAAGAAACAAAGCAACCTCGGCGTCCGATCGCAGGCCTCCGCTCCTTGAGGTCTCTCCAGCGCTGGAAAGCTGATCCGATATTTACACGGGTCCTACTTCTTGCCTTATCCTTCCGCAGACGTTTTCCTCTTTAGAGTATCTTAAACTTATTTTAGTTAGGTGACATGACACGTAGCTAAGTATGGTGTCCCATACTTGGAATTTGTGCCCTACATTTAATCCATCCAAGTGCACACACACAGCAGTGAGAAGTGAACACACACACACACTGTGAACACACACCCGGAGCATTGGGCAGCCATTTTTTTTGTTTTTTTTCCTGCGGCGCCCGGGGAGCAGTTGGGGGTTCGGTGCCTTGCTCAAGGGCACCTCAGTCGTGTTTTATAATATGTTTATGGTTCTTTTGCTTCATTTTTGAAGCCTGAAAGCTTCAGTCTCCATTCTTTGTGACTGCATAGAAAAGAGTAACACACTCATCAAATAATCTTTTTGTTTGCATTCAATGAGAGAAATAAACTCATACTGGTTTGAAACAGCATGAAAGTGAGTTGTTATATGAACTATTTCTATAATATATTATGATTTCATCCTTTTGGAATCACACTTTTTTTCTTAACCAAAGTTTTAACCAAAGTTGACGTTGTCTCCGAAGCATGCATGTTTTTTTCCCTGTAACATGAGATTTATATGTGATATACATCTGATATGAGTAATCTGACATTTTCCATCTGCGCTCTTTCTTGGTTTTTCACCATTGTGTCAGCTCTCATCACTTCTTACCCTTTTCACAAGCACGGTGATGACAGACTCTAAACTCACACACACACAGCCCCATGATTACAAAATAAATGCAAGTGACGCATATTGCCTGTGTTTGGGTTTAGGTGGTCAGGTATGGAGTCCCTGCTCTCCATGTGATTACACATGGATATTACGCTTCTGCAAATGGGTCCCTCACACTTCGGTTGCCTGTAACATGGTCCATTAATCTGTTGTGGCAGGAAATTTAAGGCGCTTAGACTGCAGCCTGACTGCAAAGCCTAGTAGGGTTTGAAATCAAGAACCAGTTCCATTAAAAAAAGGGGGAAAAAAAGAAGAAAAAAAAACTTTAACACAGTGTTCGATTCTGTTGATTTTATTTTATTTTTTCAATTTTAGTAATATTAGTACTTTTTTTTAGTAAGTTTAAGTATCTTAAACTTATTTTAGTTAGGTGACATGACACGTAGCTAAGTATGGTGTCCCATACTTGGAATTTGTGCCCTACATTTAATCCATCCAAGTGCACACACACAGCAGTGAGAAGTGAACACACACACACACTGTGAACACACACCCGGAGCATTGGGCAGCCATTTTTTTGAGCAGTTTGGGCCTTGCTCAAGGGTCTCACTTCAGTCGTGGTATTGAGGGTGGAAGAGAGCGCTGGTCATTCACTCTCTCCACCTACAATCCCTGCTGGACCTGAGACTCGAACCCGCAACCTTTGGGTTACAAGTCCGACTCTCTAACCATTAGTTATGCAACATTTTCATCTACTAATTTGCTGTTCTAAAAACTTCTGTTTTTATATTATATTTAGTTTTAATTAAAAAAAAATGTTTAAGATTTCTAGTCTTAGTTTTAGTTAACAATATCAGCGTCAGTATATTTTAGTACAGCGTTCCATCCACCTTGGTGAAAGAATACAGATGTTCAAGATTTGCTTCCAAGCCAAAAAAAAACAAACAAAAAAATAGATGTACTGGTTGTGAGTTTGCAGTCTAAATTTAATGTCATGATGAAGGAACATAGAGTGCAAAAAGACTCACAAATCACTGAAACACGACAAAGAAAAAAATACATGAAAGGTTGTTTTTGCTTCAAGGTAAAAAAAAAAGTCATTGTGAGTGAAAGTTTTAAATAAATGTAAACTAACTAAATAAATAAATAATTAAAGTTATTTTACAATACAGATTGTGGAAATATTAGGTTGCAGTTATGAGATATAAAGTCACAATTACGATAAATTAAGATAAATAAAATTGCAGTTGTGCAGTTTACAATAAAATTGTCAAAATGATAAGAATTACATTTGCAGTATTTGTGTTCAAGACTCAGATCATTTGATTCAATTCAGTTGCAACTAATGCATTAGTTGCAATTGATTGACTGATTCAATGAAACATTCAATGAAAATCGCTTATAATGAAAGTTATTGTGTACAGTCATGTCTGGCTCGAGATATGAATAAAGCTGTAAATGATTTACGTACTCCTGATATGTTGGCTGATACTTAAATCAGTGTAGTTACTATCTAGTTCATCTGACAACATGTACACTACACGTCCGTTTGGGGTCTGTAAGATTTTTTCATTGTTTTAAAAAAAGACTATTATGCTCACAAAGGCTGCATTTATTTGATTAAAAATGCAGTAAAAACAATAGTAAAACAATAATATTGTGAATTATTATTACAATTTAAAATAACTGTTTTCTATTTGAATATATTTTAAAATGTAGTTTATTCCTGTGATGCAAAGCTGAATTTTCAGCAGTCATTACTTCAGTCTTTAGTGTCACACGATCCTTCAGAGGCCATTCTAATATGCTGATTTGCTCCTCAAGAAACTACTCTTATGATTAATGTTTAATAATATGTAATTTTTTTTTTTAGAAACTTTTAAGTTCTTTGATGAATCCTTGCTGAATAAAGGTATCGGTTTCTAAAAAAAAAAGAAAAAAGAAAATTAAAATTCTTACTGACACCAAACTTTTGACTGATAGTGTAGTTAAAGTTTTGTTGTACTCTAGTTTTGTAACAGTGATTGTTTTTCTTTGTGCAGATACCAGTGTCCTCCTTGGTGTCATTTGTGGAAGCTCTGGAAATAGGCTACAGCAAGCACAGAAACCCCTACCACAATTTGATCCACGCTGCTGATGTCGCGCAGACGGCACACTATCTGATGCTACACACTGGCATTATGGTGAGTGAGCGCTCAGTGAATTGTGCATGCATGTCTTGCACAGACAAACAAATATGACATCTGTTTGTAATCAATACGAGCTGAACGCTTGAGGTCTTAACTTGCAGGTTAATATGCGCAGCTGTTGAAATTCGTTTTGATGATGCTGAATCATGGCGATGATGATTATTTGGGTAACGGCTGTCTGGTTTGCTCTCCTACAGCACTGGCTCTCTGAACTGGAAATATTGGCCATGGTGTTTGCTGCTGCAATCCACGACTTTGAACACACTGGAACGACCAATAACTTCCACATTCAGACCAGGTGTGTGGTGACCGTAAGAAGCAGCCAGTGGTTTCAATGAAGTGTCCCAATTTAAATTAAACTGCCTTAAAGGAATAGTTCACCCAAAAATGAAAATTTAATCACCCTCAGGTCATCCAGCATGTAAATGAGTTTATATCTTCACAGGAACAGGTTTGGAGAAATTTAGCATTACATCACTCGCTCAACAATGGATCCTCTGCAGTGAATGGGTGCCGTCAGAATGAGCGGCCAAACAGGACACCTTAATGATGGATTTGTTTCTTACAAACACACAGCTTTTCACTTCGCAATATGTTAACTGATGGACTGGAGTTGTGTGGATTACTTGAGAATTATTGTGATGTTTTTATCAGCTGTTTGGACTCTCATTCTGATGGCACCCATTCACTGCAGAGGATCCATTGGTGAGCAATGCTAAATGCTAAATTTTTCAGAATCTGTTCTGATGAAGAAACAAGCTCAGCTATGTTTTGGATCGCCTGAGCGTGAGACAATTTTCAGCAAATTTTCATTTTACAGTGAACTTTTCTTTTAATGATGGACAGTGTCTTTGTATGAAGGTACCTGCTATGGAAACTAGCTTCAGACTGGCTTTCAAAGACACCTGCATCTACAGCAAATTCTATGATCTAGACATAAGGAAGCTAATATTTAGTAACTAATATGCTTGTTTCTTTGTGTAAATGAAATCATAAGATGAATATTTCATAAATTATATTGAACTATTTGTATTTTTTTATTTGTAATTTTTTTTATTAACTTATTAAATATTTTCCATTATTCATAAATATTCAGGTGAAAGATCAGTGATGTTTCCTGGGTTCATCGGGTGTTTCGGGTCTTTCAACAGCATACACCCTCACCCAAGTGACCCAGCCGGGGGGTGATCAAGCCCTGACCTGCCTCCCAGTAGCGTTTGGTCACGGATCACCCCTTTTCCTTTCACTTTTCCTTTCGAATGCCTCCTCCATTCGATCTTCCCAAGGCACAGTCAATTCTATCAAAACTAGCTGTTTCGAAACCTCAGATAGAATGATGATGTCAGGTCACAAAGATGTTTCTGCGATGTGTGCTGGGAATTTCAGCTGCTTCTCCAGGTCAACCAAAAGCTGACAGTCCCGTGCTGTATGAAGAAGGCCTGCTGGAGCTTTGTTCTGTGGTGTTGGCTGCTCTCCTTCTTTCACAAACCGTATTTCCTTCCTAGCTCGGTGATGGTGCTTACTGCTTGCAATGGCCTGCAAAAGTGCTACTTATATATATTTTTACTATTTATACAAATAAAACTTTATGGCAAAGTATTACAATTTTATTAAGATTTGTAAAATATTTATAATATTTGAATTTATTATTAATATTTTTAATCTTTAATCTTGAATGGATTTTTTTTTTTTTAAAGCAAGCTTGTTGCAATCCATTTGCATTGTTACAAATGTGATGCTTGCTTAAAATTTTGCCATATGAAGTTGTCTTAACATAATGATGCTACCTACCATAACAGTGTTTGCATCCGGAGCATGTCTATGATGCATTAAAATGCTGCTTACGTAGGCAGCTTACTAGGTTTTGGACCAGAGCCTAGTGTGAAAGCCAAAGAGGGTGTGTGTGTGTGTGTGTAGTAGAGAGAGATAATACACTGGTCACATTCTAACACAGTTTATCTTCCTTCTGGTGGTCTATTGTGGAGCTGAGAGCAGAATTGATCATGTTTTCTATTAATCTTCAGTGGCAGAAACTTACGTCAGAATCTGCACTCATTTTGGTGCAGCTCTGTGTTGGTTCACATCAGGCAGGACATCTTATTCACATTAATACATGCCAAAGGATCCTTGAGATCCTTTTTACAGCAAAAGGCCTCATTTTGCGTGACAGCCCATGGCAGATGTCATTATTCTGAGAAGTACATCACAGCATTAGCTTTTGCAGCAGACAGAAACCGATGGCAAGGACAGTACTCCAAAATACAGTGATTTTGGAGGAGTGCTCGATCATCAGTGAGTTGTGGGAGACGAGAATTGTGTGATGGGAAAAATGGAGCCATTACTCTCGATATCTCAGATTGCCACTGATGTTCAACCTCAGCTTGTGGTTCTCAAATGTACTCCTCGCGAGAATGAAAAGTAAAAGCCTTGGTGATCATAAGAGGTAATCATGTTTTTTTTCAAAAACAATTAAAAAAATCTTACTTACTCCAAACTTTTGAAACTTGTGGTGTACAAGTTCTTTATTTTACAATATACAGCAGGTTCTTCACATTAGCGTAAGGTTTCTGGGTTCTTCAAAACTCCAGCACATTTCTAATGAAGTAGTGAATAAAATAAAATATTTTTAACTCTTCAAATCCACAGGCCTTTGTTCTTGCATGGGACACAAAAGGATTGTCCAATCTGCTTATTTTCATAAAAAAAAAAAAAACAGGTGAACAGGGCTGTTAAGCTTCAAAGTTACAAAAATTGCATTCATATATTTAAACTGGTGTGACAAAATGTGCCATTGACGTTAATTGACACCTAGCCCCAATTATGTTCATAACCAACGTTATGAATATGTACAAGTGCAGCTGAGATCACAAATCTTGTGTTAAATTTAAAAACAGCTCTTTTTGATCTGTCATGCCAAGTTTGACATCAGTGATGCCAAATTAGTTCTTGTGCGTCACATGACTGGTTACAACTTGACAGGTTTGAACAACCGAGGGCAATATTTTCAGCCAAAATGACTTTGAAATTGACGTCATTTCTACACGCCAAACTTCAGAAGACTTGAAAGGTACTGTATGAGTCATATGATCTACTTTTATGTTGTGTTTATGGTGCTTTTTGTCCTTTTTGAAGCTTGACAGCCCCTGGTGACAATACGCTTTCATAAATAACATATTTTGTGTTCCACGAAAGAAAGAAAGAAAGAAAGAAAGTAAGTCATTCAGACTTGGAATGAAGTAAAGGTGACTAAATGATGATGAAATTTTCCTTTTTTGGTTGAACTAACCTTCAAGGTACTACAAAGTCATTGGACATTTTTTTGACTCCTCTTTCTTTGGTCCTGCACAGATCAGAAGTGGCCATCCTGTACAATGATCGCTCGGTTCTGGAAAACCACCACGTGAGCGCAGCCTACAGACTTATGCAAGAAGATGAGATGAACATCCTTGTCAACCTCTCGAAGGATGACTGGAGGTACGCTGGGGTTTGTCTCTCAACGCTGGCTTTATGTCCTCGGACATGCCGTTCCTGTGAGGAATGGAGGATCTGTTCTGGGAAAGTGCATGTGCTGTGAGTTGTGATGAGCCGCTGTGTTGTGTTTCCCACAGGGAGCTCCGTACGCTGGTGATCGAGATGGTCATGAGCACAGATATGTCCTGCCATTTCCAGCAGGTCAAGACGATGAGGAACATACTGCAGCAGCCGGAGGGGTGAGTGACGCTCCTGCTGTTCTCTCTGAGCGTGTGTGAACATGAGGGCGATAAAGAATGAGTGTGATGGCGTGTCGCCTTATGAAAATGTGTCATACTTCTTGAGTAGTACCCATTAGGACTGGGTGGTATGAGATATATACTGAGTGATGAAATAAATGCATCAAGACTAGAGACTTCTATTCATTCATTAGTTATGAATTATTTTATTTTTTGTTTCGTGTCCATTAAGCTCCAAACAGAATCAGTAAAGGTAAAAGTACTTTAAAATCAATCCTAAATATAACTGGAAGCCAGTGTAAGGACCTGAGGACTGGTGTAATATGCTCAGATTTTCTGGTTCTAGTCAGAATTCTGGCAGCAGCGTTCTGGATGAGCTGCAGCTGTCTAATGGTCTTCTTGGGAAGGCCGGTGAGGAGACCATTACAATAGTCCACCCTGCTGGTAATAAAGGCATGAACAAGTTTCTCCAAATCTTGACTGGAAACAAAACATCTAATTCTTGCAATGTTTTTGAGATGATAGTATGCTGATTTAGTTACTGCTTTGAGTAACTAAATCAGCATAGATTTAGATAGATATAGATAGATAGATAGATAGATAGATAGAGTTGAATCTGTCTGACCTCTGCATAACTTGAGGATGTGCTAATCGCCTTTCTAATGTTACTGATTTTCTCAGAAAAGAATGTTACTGATTTTTCTCAAACTCATTGCATTTGCTGTCGGAGAGCATTTAACTGGCAATCTGACTTGGGGTGTTTGTTAGTCTCTCAACAGTAGCAAAAAGAGTGCGAGTGTTGTTTAAGTTACTGTTTATAAGGTTTGAGAAGAATGACTGTCTAGCTTTGCCTAGTTCCACATTGAAAGCACGAAGGCTGTCTTTATATATGCTATAGTGGATTTCAAGTTTCGTCTTCCGCCACATCCGCTCAGCTTTTCTGCATTGTCTTTTCATACTCTGAACTCTGAATAGTTACTACCATACAAAAGTTTGGGATTAGTAAGATTTTTCAATGTCTTTGAAAGAAGTCTCTTATGCTGCATTTACATGATCAAAAACAGAGTAAAAAAACCATAACATAGTGAAATAATATTACAATTTAAAATAGCTGTTTTCTATATTTAAAAATTTAATTTATTCCTGTGAGTTATTCTAATATGCTGATTTGCTGCTCAAGAAACATTGCTTATTATAATCAGTGTTGAAAACAGTTTTGCTGCCTATTATTTTTGTGGAAATACATTGTTGTAGTTTAAGTACCTTAATATGTGTTTTTTTTTTTTACTGTATAACTGTAAGATTTTGACCATATATTTTGTACTTGTTATGAAATACATTTGTTATTAGTACTGTTTTTTCATTTATTCCTTTAGTGTTGTCTTTTTTTCCCCAAACTGACTTAGGTATTAGTAGTGTAAACTTTTTAGAAATGCTGCTGTTTAAGCTAAAGTATATATATACTGTAGTATTTCTGCCAAAATATAGTTACTACAGTTACTATAGTAAAACCATTGCAAATTGTAAATAGACAGAGTGACAGACAGAGGCTGATGGTGCCGTTTAGACCCAAATTAGTCCTTTGTTTGCGAATGTGTATGTGTGTAAATGTGGGTGCATAATTTATGGATTCATAATTTGTTTACACAGACTCCAGTGGATCTTACAGCTAGTGTTTGTGATGAAGTGTTTATATGTGACTGATGAAGCTCTGATGAATGTGTCTATCAGAATAGACAAGGCTAAAGCGCTGTCCCTGATGCTGCACGCGGCTGATATCAGCCATCCCGCTAAGGGCTGGAAACTGCACTACCGCTGGACACAAGCCCTTATGGAGGAGTTCTTCAGACAGGTACGCACTTCATAATATTTAACACAAACAGAACTCCCAGAGACACAGACTTACTAGATACAAACATTATCTGGGAAAATGTTTTGTACCATTGAGATAATATTATAGTTTGTAAAAAATATTTCACATTTTTCAATTTTTCATTTTCATTTTAGTTAAGGTTTGAATAATTTTAATGTGTGTTTTTGTCATTTTTATTAGTCATTGTTTTAAATGTATCTATAAAGTTTTTTATACATTTTTATTTGTTTTAGTTTTAGTTAATTTGGTACATTAAATTAAAGGGGTCATATGATGCTGCTAAAAAGAACATTATTTTGTGTATTTGGTGTAATGAAATGTGTTTATGCGGTTTAAAGTTAAAAAAACACATTATTTTCCACATACTGTACATTATTGTTTCTCCTGTATGCCCCGCCTTTTTGAAACGCGTCGATTTTTACAAAAC